TCAGTGTTCACTGGCATGGTGGTCACAGGTTAGTGGCTTGTGACTTTCCCAATAGACCCCCTGTGGGTCAACTCTTTGAAAAAACTTAATGACAAAAATTAATCAGCATAAGATATTTACCCATTATGTTAGTGCACCTACTACAAAAAATAACATTTTCATGGTGAGAATTGTAATTTAACTGTTACTGGAATGTTTTGCACAAAGTGATGCATTTCTTTAGATCAATTCAGTATAAATCATCTCACATAGTTAATTACAACAAAATAACATTGAACAGTTCTATTTTCTGGTAAGACAAAAATGTTTTTCTTTACACCTCGGTAGCTTAGGTCCACATCTGTTTCAGAAAGAATACGAGATGCTCGTGCAAGCCAGGCAGTTTTGCAGGTTATATATTTTTTAATACTTTCTACATTTGACTGTTAGGGGGAATTGCAATGCACTGCGAATGCTTGTTAACTAGAAGTTGTGTCTCAGCTCTTTCCCTAAAGCCTGTCTCTTCTGGGAGGAGATACTTATGGATCATCCTACGGATATGCTGGCGCTCAAGTTTGGCCACGACACCTACTTCTACATGGGCCACCAGGCTCAGATGAGAGACTCTGTGGCCCGAGTTCTTCCACATTGGAAGCCTCACATGCCGCACTACAGGTAGAGTCAGAGTGAGTACTGTTTCACAGGAGAGTCCTGTGTGGCACAGGACCGAAGAGAAAACAAAATTGTCCTTTAGAGCTTTTCATTTTGAGAAATATAATGTTCTTTATCATTTATTATAAGGCATCCTACAGAGCTGCAGAGGAAAATAAAAGGCCATACAGATCCTGTGTATACTGTCCTCCAATTTCATACCACTTAGATAAAAACATCAGCTGAAGGGCTTAGCACAATACTGTAGATGGAGAAATTGAGCTGAAGATGTCTGAAAAGGAACTTCTGCAACTCTAATTGACTCCAGCAAAATATACTGTACCAAGAGCCTGATAAGTAATAAAAGTGGCTGTTGTGTCCCAGAATTACAGTTCAGACCTCTCCCTGGTGTATTTGGTAAAATCATGTTTTGGGATCACTTTAAATATGATAGCATTTTGTCACTGATACCACAGCCTTTATTCTGTCTTC